TATATAGAATAGGTAGAGTTTAGGAGACACCATGTAGCTACCAAAGGAGAAAGATGCCAGAACATTACCGATAAGCCACAGCCTTGTGATGATACACAGGTAATATAAATGTACTGATTTAAGATGTAAAATCTACCTAGGAATATGCCTGAGCCATTGACCAAACAGTGTTGTAATTAAAATAGTTTCTTTGTGATTATTTTGGTTTGAGCAGCCAGGAAATGAAAGTGTAGTCTCTGTTTACAAATGGTACCTAAATATTTGGCTCCCAGAGGCAGTGAATGGACCTCATCATGTTGGACTGGGCGGAGCCAAAAGGCAAAGCAGCTTTAGTCCTAGCCACACAGCTTAACATTTTAAGAAGCAGTCCTGGTCAGAAAAGGATTACAGATATACAATAAAGACAAACTCAGATGAAAGACTTCTAAATGGATCATAGCTGTTTCAGTCAATGGCTTAGCATAATAAATCCAAGCAGAAAATCTGAACAAAGATATATAGAGAGAGTAGGCAGAGTCAAGGGGACACCATGTAGCTGTGGAAGGGGAAAGATGCCAAAACATTGTCAGTAAGTTACAGCCTTGTGGCAATACATAGACGAGTAGAAATGTGTCAATTTAAGAACTATCTAAGAATACACCTGAGCCATTTGCCAGACAGTGTTGTAACTAATATAGTTTCTGTGTGATTATTCAGGTCTGGGTGACCGGGAAATGAAAGTGCAGTCTCCGCTTACAAGGGAAAGAGTAGGGATTAAAAGTTATGTGTCATGAGTTGGTAAGATTACTGCTCCATAATGTTCTTGATAGAACTCTCTGTAGGGTTCCAATGAATTTATTAAGACTTCCAAACAGGAACTGGAAATCACTATGTGGTATCACCTCTCTTCAGTCAAATTGACTAGTACCAAAAAGTCAAATTAAGCAAAACAATAAACAAATATTGTTGAGACTGTAGAGAAAAGGGCATTTTTATGTAGCATTATTTGTAATGTAAATTAGTATAGCTGTTATGGTGCAAAGCATGAAGATTCCTCAGAAACTTAAAGATGGATCTACCACATGGCTTAGCTGTCCCATTTCTTGTTTTACACCCAAAGGAAACCAAACCAGTATACTTCGTGCTTAGGTTTATTGTAGCACTATTCACTGTAGACAAGACATGGAATCAAAGAGCTGCCTAGATGGATGAACAAATAGAATGACTGAGCAAAGATAATCTGGTAAATATGCATAATAACATACTATTCCGCCATGAAAAGAATCAAATCCTGTTATTTTCAGAAAAATTATTGGTACTGAGAGGCATCATACTAAATAACACATTAGCAAAGCAAAAGGAAAGACTTCAAATTCTTTATATATGGAAGCTAAAATAGTTTGTATCAAAGAAGAAGAGTGTAGAAGAGTGATTGCTAGAGCCTGGAAGGAGATGAGGAATGATAACTAAATGAGTCCCTAGGACCGATCTGAGTGTTCTGTGGGTTGATAGAATTTCAGAGACCTGTCCTATCTGTTACAAAGAACTAGAAGAGAGGAGGTGTCTTAGCTACTATTCTATTGCTACGAAGAGGCACATGACCAAGGCAACACTTTAAAAAAAATCATTTAATTGGGGGCTTGTTTTCAGTTTCAGAGAGTTAGTCCATGATCAATCGTAGCAGAAAGCGGATAGGCATGGGGCTGGGGCAGTAGCTGAGAGCTTTATATCCTACTCCACAGGAGCAGGCAGAGAGAGTGACCCTGGACCTAGCATGGGGCTTTTGAAACCTTAAAGCACACTCCTGGTGACACACCTTCTTGTCCTTCCCAAGTCGTTCCATTCCCTAGTGACTAAGTATTCAAATATATGAGCCAATGGGGGACCATCTTCATCCAAACTACCACAGGCTCCAGAAACAAAAACTCACAAGGAAGCGGTAATGCTAATCATCCTGACTTGCTCATGACACATTAGTTACAAATACCGCATTACTCCACTGTATTCTATAAACATGCATAATTATTGCGTCAAATAAAAATGAAAAGTTTAAAAGTTACAAAAGAAAGCAAATAGGACAAAAAGCTTTCTAGGCACTCTGCCTCACCTGCTGCCCCCCTTAACCCTGCTCCACCACCCTAGAGTTTTGGTTGGGGCAAAAGGAACTTGAAGGCATTTCCTCTCACTTTATCAGTAACTAGTAATTTCAGTGTAGTTTCCCCTGACACTGAGTTAATGTATAATTTACCCCTGTCTGAGAAGTGGAATTAAAATATTGGAAAGGACAATGAAACTAGTATGGTATAACTTCTGAGTTTAGAGCCAGATATAGCTGGCTTTAAGTGAAGTTGGCATTTACATGTTTCTGACTTTGATCATATTTCTTTTTTAAATTTGTTCTAGATTTTAGGCTTCCTTATTTTATGTGTATGTTTTCCCTGGATGTGTGTTTGTGCCCCATGTTCATATCTGGTGCTCACAGAAATCAGGATAAATGATTGGATCGCTTGAAACCTGAGTTACTGATAGTTATGCGCAGCCATGGATGCTGGCAACTGAACCTGGGTCTTTTATCAAAAGAGCAACAAGTACTCTTAACTAATGAGACAACGCTTCCACTCCTGATCACATTTATAATTTTTTTTTTTTGTAATTTGTCTCCTCATATGTGGGACAATATAATAGGACTCAGTTGCAAGTTTAACCGAAGATGAAAAAAAAAATACTGTTTGAAGCATTAGGGCTGAATTGGGCTGGGAAATAGCATAGTTACTAAAGTGCTTACCATGAAAGCACAAGGACTAGAATTTGAACCTCAGAACCTATGTAAAAAAGTTGGGTGTTAGGGCACACACTTTTCATTGCTGGGGCAGCATAGACAGATGGATCCATGAGGCTTGTTGATTAGCCAGCCTTAGCCTACTCAGTGAGCTCCCAACCAATAAGAAGCCCTGTCTCAAAAAACAAAACAAAATGACCACCACCACCACCAAACAACAAAAACAAATAAACAAGCTACAAAAAAACCCCACCAAGTTGGACATCATCTGAAGAACAACATCTACGATTGCCATCTGGCCTCCACATATATGCACACAGATGTGCGCATACACATACCACCACATGTACCTGCACAAATACACGCACACACACACACATTAAAAAACATTGGGCATACATGGTCTTACAAAATTGTGAGGTACGGAGGAAGTGGGAACAGGAGAGGAAAGGGGAGAAAATGGAAAGTTATGGAAAAAACAAAGTTGATCATAATGCAGGAAGGAAAAGGGTCCTCTATACCATGTATAGCACATAGGCATAGGTTTTCACCATGGCACATAAATATGTAAACAGACGGCTGTTTTAGCTTATGTGTTTAGAAAGGAAATCAATGAGTACGTTGTGAGGTTGGAGGGAACACATGCATGTGAAGATCATGGATATATGGAAATAAATTATGAAGATTGCTACATGTGACTGCCTCAGATCTCCTCAAGTTTCTTGTTCCTGCTGCAGAGAGAGGAGACTATGAGCAGAAGGGGATAGTCCGGTTAGTTTAGTCCTGGCTTGGATGATTGTGGGAAAATAACTCAAGTGTGCAGTTATTTCTCTCTGTCTCTCCCCCCCACTCTCCCTCCTCCCCTTTCTTCTCCCCGCTCTCTGTCGTGTGTGTGTGTGTGTGTGTGTGTGTGTGTGTGTGTGTGTTTGGCAAACTTACCTCCTATATGCATGAGAACACCTATGTCTTTCTAAATAATAATCTCAGAACTCTATCTATTGAATATAATACCTTATTTTGACTTATTTTCCTTTGATTTCTTCTTTATATCAAAGTAGAGATAGACAGTTTTAAAATCTGAGTTGTGTATTGCCAGATTTTATTGTTCATTGATTTCATTTCAGGACAAATGAGGATCATGATGAAATACTGACTTAAATGGAAGGCCTGGGTCAGCAAGGCTCAGAACCATCGGCTGTAACAGGCTCATTTCTAAAACCCCAAGTCATCACCCAGCTCTAATGGTTTCGATTCTAGGCAACAGACTCCAGAGTTCAGGCTTTTCCCCTCTTTCGACCCTCTGCCGACCCAAGTCCCCTGGTTTCCACTCACAGCTCAAGGACGGACACATCTGGAGGCTTCTGAGAGAGGTCTCCAGGTAGAAGGCTTTAGGCAGATTTCTCCAGGCTAGAGCCATCTTGTTCTAGGCAGGAAGCAAACTCCAAAATCTTGTGGAAGCAGGTCAGTGGGAGGAGGGGCTCTAAATGCTGGCTGACCCGCTGGACTTTGCTATTAGAGGAGGAGGAGGCTTTAGCAAGTTAACTGTCGACTGGTGAATGTATGTGGACTTAGGTAAATCCCCAGAGCCGGACTGTGTTAGAAACAGTGTCTTAAATAGAAAAATGAAGAAGCAGAGAAAAGAAGGGTGGCGAAGGGAACTTGGAGGAGAGGAAAGGGAAAGGAAGATAAGGGAGAGAGAAGGGGGGTTGAAAAAAAAAGACAAAATAAAGTTCTCCTGGGCTCATTTTGTAAACCTGTATTCCACCAGAATGAGTTCAGAAACTCTAGAAGTAACAGAGTTAGTTTGGATATAAAATGTTTATATCCAAAACTGGGTTGGTATAAAATGTTCCTCACATGTCCATGCCTTTGAACACTTGACCCGAGGCTGGCGCCACTGCTATGGCAAGTTATGGGACTCCAGGGACCTGGAAGGTAATTAGTAGATATAGGACCACGGGCGCTTAGCTTGGGGGTATTTGGCAGACTATCCTTCCAGCCTAAGCAGTGTTCTTCCTGGTCAGTGCTGTGTAACAAACACGTATGTCCCGTGCTGCCGCTGCCACAGGCCAAGCTGGTCCAGGCTCCTTGCCACCTAAATCCCCATCATGACCGACCATATTGTCTTGCACTATGAGTCAAATATATCCTTCCTCCCTTACCTTGCTTTTTGTCAGGTTTCCAGTCAGAGTGACAAGAAAAACAACTGATACAGCAAACTGGTTGAAAAGTGGAGGGGTAGGCCACTGCTATCATAAACTTGACCATGTGGACTGTGGGCCTTTAGAATTGCATTCTTGGAGGAATGTGGAAGACTGGGGTTGTGGCCTAGAGTAGCCATGGAATGTTGTCAGTGTAACCCAATGGGGTGTTATGGTAGATTTCAGAATGGGAGTAGGAATATGGGCAGTAAAGACTCATGAAATTTTGGAGAAAAACAAGGATGAAATTGGAAGTTGGGATCCATGCTATGTTCTAGCAAAGAATCTGGCTTTGCTCATCCAGAGATCTGAGTGATGTTGAATTAAAAGTTAATGGAATAATTTTCTGGGAGACAGACTTTCAATACAGCACAGTATTCGTGCTGTGGCACAGTTACCGCTGCCTGCTTTAGCCAGATTTACAGTGATACATTTGAGAAGAGAGTGGAACGGAAAGATGTGGAAAACGTGCAGCTTGGCAATGAAAGAAGTGCAACTCTATAGCAAGAAAGTGTCTGCGGCCAAAGCCCTGTTAAAGAGCTTAGTGCAATTAAAGAGATACTTTGTATTCTGCCTGAGATAGCAGAAGTGATGCCCTGTAGGCAAGGCCTGGCTCTGCATCCTGTTCTAACATGACTGGGTAGGTAAATGTTCCTCCTGATATAGGGAAGTAAGCAACCCCTGAGACCACAGCAGTCCAGCTTCAAGAGGGGAGTAGACTGCGTCTAAATCTGGCTGTAGAATGTCCTGCCATTTATGTGGCGCTGTTGTACAGGTATGAAAATGAGTGACAAGGTCATGAAAGCTTGTGAGACAGTTCCAGAAGAAAAGCTAATGAGGTGTGGAAACATGCTGCCTCTCATATCCCGTGCAAGGAGGCCATGTGAGGCCGTTGAATGAAGTTGTGAAGGTGAAATATCAGTTGCAGTGGAGAAGCCAGGATGTTCAAGCTATCAGGAACACGTGGGCACCAAAGAAATCTGCAGGCACTCAAGTGAAGCGAGCACAAGAGAGAGCTTACATTTGCTTCAGGTGGAATGGGTCTAGTCAGACAATTGTAATCTAGATGCTAGACACGGAGCTTCAGGATTTGGTGTTTTCCTTGCTGGGTTTTTGTGTCCAGTCTTTTCTTGCAATGTCTCTATACTTACTTCCCTTTTGAGGCAGGAATGCTCACTCTATGCCACTGCACATTTTAGGCATCAAATTGCTTATTGTTAAGAGATTGTCTGAATCACACACGAAATTGGTGGGTTTTGAGCAGTGTTAGAAGGTAGCAGAAGTGGTGTCTTGAAGGCAAGGCCTCATTCTTTTGAAGTTTGACCAGACTGAATTTGGATTATGAAGAGCTATGAGCCTAAGGGGACTAAAGGTGGTAGATTATGATTTCCATGGGAAAGACCTCCCAAACAGGCCCAAGTATTTGAATTCTTGGTACTTAGCGGCGACCCTGGGGGGATTATGAAACCTTTATCTATGGAGCCTTATTACTTATGACCAAGATGATGAAGGTTGATTCTACTTCTCACCCAAGCTCTCCTGTTTGCTGGTTTGTAGCACTTAATAACCAATTATCCCATGCCCTACCGGCACAGACAAAGTTGGTCCCATCCCCACGCACGTCTTCTTCACCGCGATGGACTGTACTCTCTTAGACCCGCATCAAAACAAATTCTTTCCATCCATGGTTGCCTCTGTCAGGATTTCTATCACAACGACGGGAAAGTGACAGAGTAGGGAGGAATGACCAGGATTTGTTTGAAGAGGTCAAGGATTGAGAAACTGGGGGTGTCGGTAAGAAAGAGAGAAGGAGACTCAGCATAAGGAAATGAGGAAACTGTTTTAGTCGGATGTACTGTTCAGCCCTGTATTCCTACTGATCTGGGGGATCAAGTTCAGAAGAACACAATTTTAAGGGCAGTCTTGGTTATATCATGAGTTCAAGACTATTTTGGCAACTTAGTGAGGCTTGTTTCATAATAAAAAATAAAAGGGGGCTTGGGACGTAGCTTGTCTGGCATATTCATGGACCTGGGTCAAACCTAGCATTACAAAAAATAAATAAATGAAAAATGGAGTAGCAGAGAAAAGATATGAACTATAGGGAAAGAGACATTCATTGTGAAGCACTGAGTATTGAGCAGCTACAGAAGGTACTCAATTTGCTTAGTACTTTCAGTTGTTTGAATGAGTTGGCAGTTGTGGAGTGAGTGTGATGTATTTTCATAATATTTTAAATTTCTTATTCATCAGTCCTACTACCTTCTAACTTTAATCCCCACAGACAACTATTTAATGTATTTATAGACCTTTTTGGCATGTATACTGTTTTGGATGAATGCATTTTCATGTGACACCACACACACACACACACACACACACACACACACTTGATTTTTTGAGACAGTGTTTCTCTGTGAACTGTCCTGGAACTCACTTTGTAGTCCAGGCTGTCCTTGAACTCACAGAGATCCTCCTGCCTTTGCCTCTGCCTCCTAAGAGCTGGGATTAAAGATATGCGCCGCCACCACCCAGCTGTGACATTTATTTTTAATATTAATAATATTATTGCTGTTAGTTGTTGTACTGAGGGTCAAACCCAGGGACTTGGAGCAGGCTACACAAAAGACCCACCACTTAGCTACTACATATTCAGCCTAAATGCATTTTTGATTTATATACATGTACAAAATGTGCAATAGTTTTCTTTGTTTCCATTCAGGAACATATTTATGTTTCAGCCAGCTGGTTATGAGACCATATCTCCCAGGTCTCTACCATTTAAGAGTGTGTGCCAATTTGTTTTTTAGAGCAGTACCTGCAGGAGAGACAGCGACAAATGCAATTCACTTAGAGACAGAACAAAGGTGGGTTCAATGGACTCCATCTTGCAGAAAGTGCTGTGGCAAGAATCCTCCATTCTTGTACTCTCGCTAAGTGTTCAGGGAGAAATATGTACACAGAGAAAGCACACCATGGTCAGCAAGAAAATCTTTATTAAAAAAGATGTCCTCACGAAGGTAAGAGAGGCTTAACCTGGCAGACAGAGGGGTCTGACCCGAGGGCTTTATCTGCCTTAACCTTTCTTCTTTATGCTATTTTTCTCTAATTTGTAGGTGTAGAATCTTTTCTCTTTCTCAATTGTTTTCTCAGAATTGTTTTGAACTAGATATTGTTGATTCCTTCTTGAATTTTCTTCACGTTCTTGTCTGTTATATGACCCTACAAACCCAAGGTAAAGATATCCAACTATTTTGGAGGGTATCTTCATTTCTCTTTTTAAAATGCTGACAATTTTTATTTATGTGTACGTGTGTGAGAGAGTGCCAAGTATGTGCAGGGCCCCGTGGAGGTCAGAAGAGGGTGCTGGATCCCTTGAAGCTGGAATTAAAGGCAATTGTGTATTGTTGTTCTGTGTGGGTGCTGGGGACTGAACTCTGGTCTTCTGGAATAACAGCAAACATTCTCAATCCCTGGGCCATCTTTCTAGCCTTAGAGGGTATCTTATCATGGGAGGTGAGGCCAGAGTCTCTTAGCAAGATTCAGAGGTAGGCCAGCTGCCGTGTGTGAGAACCATCTTGTGTATCTCTTTTTAGCCTTTCCCCCCCACCCTCCACACTTTCCCCCCAGCTCTATTTCTTATGTCTAACTTACTCCTAACAAAAAGGCAATTGATTTTGACGTATCTTTCAACCACATCAAAGAAATGACTGTTTATCCCTAGTGCCTGCAGGAAGCAATGGGACAAGGTGACGACACAATTGCTGTGAGTTCAAGATAAATTCTAATTTCCTGCTGGGATCCCAGCCTCTCACTCATATGTTCTGAGGGCTGTAGGGCACATCTGTGTGATGTGGCTCATCAAGCAATGCAGGATAATACATCAGTGAGGGCAGTGGACAGACATATAGCCTCTGTCTTGGTCTCAGATTCTGTCATGCATGCTGTCGGACTGTGGGCATTAGGTGTTGGTTTCCCCAGAGTCTGCCTTGTGCCTCCAGTTTTTCTGCATTATCAACTTTACCTTTGGGAACTACAGTCTCCGTGACTGGAGTTTTATTCTTTTGGGCGGTATTGTACAATTTGAGGTTTTGTTAAGGCACCCAACATGAGGAACTTTCTAGAGTGGGAAGCAAAATAGTCCATTTTGAATAATCCTTGGAGAAGTGAGTGACTATTTCTTTTATTTAAAGGTGTGATTATTCCGATGATCACAAAACGTGTTTTCTTAAGCAGACAGACAAGCAAAGAGAGACACTCAAGCCCAGAAAAGCATGA